CTTCTCTTGCTCGGCCTTTTCCGAGAGCTCTTGGGTAAGACTCTTCTCCTGGGTCACCAGGCGTTCCTTTACGCTGGCCAAGGATTTCTCCATGGCTTCGTAAGAGTACATTTTCAGGCGAAGAGGTTTCAGCTCGGCCTTGAAATTTGTGATGGTCGCCTCCAGCTCGTCATTCTTCTTCTGGGCCGCCTCTAACTGAGCCCGAACAGCGGTGGTAGCCTGCGCCTGATAATAAAGAATATCAATGGTCAGAACTTCATTTTGGGCAATTTGAAACATTGCCTTATCACAGTCAGAGGCGGCCATAGCTTTTGCAGCCTTTACCTCTTTGTTCTTTCGATCAAGCGGCTTGCGAAGGCCGTTAACTCGGAGCAGGGCCTAAGTACAAAGAAACAGGCGTCAGTTTCCAAACAAAAAATAAAACAGGCGTCCAGAAATCCAAATACTCAAAAATATGCTAAGTATACCTCAGCAAGGACCCCTGCAATCTCGTCAAGGTCAAGGGTGCCGACACCCCTGACCGCCTCCCTTTCAGCTGGAGGAACTGCCCTGATCATAGACTTGGCCATCTCTACCAAGTCAGGCTCCTGGGGGCTGGCTGCATCAAGCATACACAAACGGATTAGACTTAGTAACAAAAGGGAGCAAGTCTAAAATTTACAAGGACAACTTCATACCTCTAGGCGGCCCAGTTGGAGTTTTAGAAGAAGTGGCCGGCTGTTTCTCAGCCGCCACCTGTTTCCTGGCAGAACCAGGAGAGCTCCCAACAGTCGTCTTCCGGGCCTTGGGGTCCGGCTGTTGGGAAGATGAAGCTCTTGGAGCACCCGTCTAAAACAGAAGAAAAAAGTCAGTATATGCATAAACACTCCAAAAAGAGGGAGAAAGGTTCGGAGCTCACCAAGGGTGCCCCCTTTTTGGGGGAGTCGGTTGAAGCTTGTTGCATAATAGAGGCCCGCAACATGGCCGCCGCAGTCTTGGAGGCGGTGATTTTGCTCATGGCGTCAGCTGCAAAAACAAACAGCAAAGTTAATAAAAGATAAACAAAAAATGTATGGAACGACAGAGTATTCGACAGGCCGACTACCTCTTGAGCACCGACTGCCGAGGCCGCAGGCGGCCAAAAAGTACTCGTCATAGAGCCACTTGAAGCTCGGGACGCAGTGCAGGGAAACTTGCTCTCGGACCCCTGAAGTAGAGTCGACCCTCGACTCTACTTTAAAGAGTCCTTTATCAAGGATCTCTTTCTTAGCCTTGGGGGGAACAGGCGGCATGCTGCGGCCGCCTGCAAGAAGGGGCGGATTCCTGTTCCACCTATTGAAGCGCTTGTTCAGCTCAATGTCTGAACTCTCAATGATGAGGAAGGTGCTCCGCCAATCCTTCCACTTGTTTGCTTTACCTCTTGTCATGAGGTAGCCCCTGTGGCTTGTCAATTGATACCAGCCGGTACCGCCTGTCTTAGGGGTCCGGCTGAGATAGTACATATGGGCAAAAGCCTCGAAGCTCGGCTCCACCCCGTGCAGTTCGCACCCGGCCACATAGCCGAGTACTATGACCCAGGAGTTTGGGGCTAACTGCCATAACCCCAACTCATACTCATCCAAAATCCGCTGAACAGCCGGATGTAATGGGAAGCGAAGCCCTGCCTTGATGGCCGCCTCGTAGCAGCCAAAGCAGGCGCTATCATAACTGGAACCAGCCGGCCAGACGACTGTGTATTCTGGATCCGGCACAAACACTAGAAAATCGGGGCCCATGGTGTGGTTTGCAATAAAGCTCTCCACTTTCTCTTGCATGGCTGTGATTCGGCCCCGAGGTACCGTGCAGTAGTAGGGGGTATTTAGCTCTCGGTAAGAGGCGGATGGTTCCGCCCAATTGTCCCCCTTCTCAACTGCGTGAGAAAGTCTCGCCTCTTGCAGGCGGCTGTTTTTCTCTTCTGTACCCAAAGAAGCATGGCCAGAAGAGCTTGACTCGGAATCGTCCTCCGACGAGTCCGAAGAGGACGACTCCTCCCCTCTCCCGGAGGGGCCCGCCTCCTCTCTTTGAAAAGGAGCAGATTTGTTAACTATTAAATGGGAAGGGGTCACTATGACTCCCCCCACAGAATTGCCGGCATCCAGGCCGCCTTGTTTCACTTCCACATCTGGCGCCTGGTCAGATGTTTCACTAAGCGGCACCCTGTGGGAGGAGCCGTCTGAATTTGAGATCCTAGCTGTCTTTTTCGTTCTGGCCATCCTGCTCTGCATAGACACAGATACAGTCGGACTTTGTATAAAGGGCAAAGATGGGTCCGGAAAAGGGCAGGCGGCACTCCTAGTCCTAGATTCAGCCGTCCCCGGTGACCGGCTGATCACTAACCTAGGTCGTGTCGTGTGCTTCCGTGGTGCCATTTCAGAAAATAAAAAGAAAATTAAGAGTAAGAGAACTGAGTTACCTGAACGAGTGACGGTTGATGAAGTTCTGAAAATCATGTGCAGTCGGCTTGTCAGAACAGGCGGTAGGCAGAAAAGGTCCAAAATGTCAGAGCAAGTTCAGGGGTCCGAATGTTCTCAAAAAGTTCTCAAAGTGTGAAAATGACTCAAGACAACTCTCCCTTATATAGGCGAAGTGAGAAGGCGAAGGGTCACTTTCAGAATTCAAAATTTGGGCGGGAAAATCTCTCGTCCTTTCGCCGACTGACACCTGTAGCAGGCCGTCGCCTGTTACAGTGCGACACCTGTCACAGGTAACACGTGACCAATCACATGCCACCTGTGAGGGGAAAATGATTAGGGGATTTTGCTCCCACCAATCGGAATGCGCCACGTGGACCAATCAGGTCCTGCCAAGTGTCCCCCAGTTGGAACAGTCAGGGCTTCCCACGTGGCACGCGCTTATTCGTCCACCTTGGACCTGTTATGTCAAGACATGTGGCATACTCCATGCCTAATGGGGAAACTGGCCACCCAGGCCCAACTTCCGAGGGAAGCCCAATCGGCCCTAGGTTTACCTAAACCTAGGATGGGCACGTTTTCCAAGGTTATAAATACCTCCCTTAATCCTCATTAAGGGAGATAACAGAAACATTACGGAAAAAACACATTAATTACACACAGTAATAACCGGCTGATCTCGCTAACAAAGCAGATTACCTACATTAAACACTCTCACCTAGAGAGACCAAATCACTTTAATTTCCGCATTAATTACTCCTTAATCAGGTACTAACTTGACCGTTGGAGGCGGAGCTCACAGGAGTCTCCGTTATTTTGCAGGTACAGGCGTCCGGTTCCAGTCTCGGAATTGTAACTCTCCCGCAGGACATCAGAAAACCCCGAAAAAGGGTGCATACTTCGGGTTTTTCTATCTCCCAACATTTTCCACCAAGAGTTCCCTTCGCTTTCAATGCTAGCTCGGGTTCTCTTCAATGTTAGTGATCTGCACTTTTGGCTCATGATCGCGACTGCTTCGGTTCATTTGGCTTCTCTTGGTCCACTTGTTGGATGTGTTTCGGTTCTTAGGGTGGTCCGGGCTCTGCAGCTTTTGGTTTGTTGCAAGACCATTTCAATGTTTGGTTCTCTTCAATCTTCCTGCAATGGTTCTTAGTGTGTGTAGGTTGTTAATTGTTCTTGTTTTAGTTAGTATTAGGTTGTAATTCTGTTTTTCTTTAATAGTATCTTTTGTCAAAAAAAAAAATATACAGATAATTTTGATAAAATTAACCCAAGTTATTTATGAGAAATGACGGATTTGCCCCTTTTAGCTTTCTCACAAAAAAAGGAATATAAGTAAAACTTTAATTGACTTCATGATCAGAAATATTTGTCTCTACTCCTGTTCATAGCTACCACATTTTGTAGTTTTATGTAGCCAAATCATCTTATTCAAGCAAATCTAATGTAATTTTTTTTTACTTTTGACTAATATAATTTTTTTAAATGGACGACTAAAATTATTAAAATTTATTTTTATTTAGTAATTTTTTTTAAAAAAAATCATTTTTTAAAAAATTATTTTATACCCCATATTTTTTTATTTCTAGAATTGCAAAAATATTAAAAATAATTCTTGGAAGATAAAAATATTTTTAAAATAATTAAAAATTATTTATTAAAAATAAATTAAAAAACAAATAATCTCAACTGTTCATTTTTAAAAAAATTTGTGGTAATCAAAAGAAATAAGACTACATTAGAATCATCATATCCGTGCTCCATGAAACTCCACTACTTAATCATCATATATGCATTAGACTTCGGCCCTGTTCTGATACGATTATTTTCAGTTCAGTTCAATCAGCTCTAATAAGTTCAGTTCAGTTCAGTTCAGCTCTAATAAGTTCAGTTCAGCTCCTAATTTCCTTCACTTATAAAATATTCAGTTTAGTTCAGCAGCTCTAATCAGTTTAGTTCAGCAACTCTAATCAGTTTAGTTCAGCTATAACTTGACATATGCTACATTGCTACGATCGAGCTTGACGAGCTACAACATACGATTATATGTACGAGTATCTTTCAATAATTTCTTAGTTGTTATTTTTGCGCTACACCTAAATTGACCCTCCTATGCATGACTCTCATCTCAACAATCTATCTTTTATCTATCGAAATCAATAACTAACTATTAGGCTATTACAACACATAAAGGAAATCATTATATGTAAATAATTAATCTGATAATCAACATAATTGACAACTTCTATTTGATAAAGATCATTCCACAATACGACATATTCATATACAGGAGTACGATGCAACAAATTCATAAAACAAATGAAAAATAATAAATGTTAACCCCTTTATCAAAATTAAAGTACAATCATTGATAAAGGATTTTTTTGATGACGATATTAAGCCAAAATTCTACTGAGTATTTACATAATAGCATTGGAAACATGTTAACATTTGATTAGATTGCAAACAAAATCTCCACACAAATTCTCCAAAAGACAGATGTACGTCAATTTATTTTAAAATGGGTTAAAATTGTCATAAAAGTATTTAAAGTTACCCTATAATCCTTCACCCTTTAATAATCCTTTATACTACATAAGTTCTTATTTTTTTAATAATAAATTTTATCTTACAAAAACTTATAATATATTAGATTAATCATGTTAACCATTATCCGTTATAGTATGTAATCATGAATCTACAAGAAATTACACCTACAAGAAATTTCACGCACCTTAAAATAAAATCAAACCAACAACAAATTAAAAGTTTTTTAAAAGTTTTACCCATAACCGTTTTAACATACGTACACCCGCCTTAGACTTATTGCTAGATTGCAGGGATTTAGACATTTAATAATCCTTTGTAACATAAGCATGTGTAATATTCAGCATTTAACAAACAAAATTACAAATGCATTTTTATGTATACATCAAAAATTCAAAACCGAGCAACATTAAATCAAGGAACTAGCTATAGCTAAATAGATGGAACAAAATTTATAAAAATGAAAATACAACAAACAAAAAACCAAAAAAAAAAAAAAAAAAAAAAAAAAAAAAAAAAAAAACAAATTATTGTACGGTTCATTTAAGTAAGCTAATAACTCGAGTTAATTCAATTTAATTAAATTGCATGGTTATTTTGATCCGTTATTCGAAAAAAAACCCGATCAAAACCGGGTTATAGTTCATTTAAGCACCAGGAGCAGCATCCTTAACCTTACTATGAAGATAACCACCGTACTCCTTAGCATAATCCTTAACCTCTCGAGCCGTAGTCGCAATCCGGTTCCTAGCGTAATCAAACCGGTCTGAACCGGGTGGGTGGAGGCCCCGGGAGTACCGGTATACCCATGATAGAACCGCAACGGCTGCAACACCAAACCCGCAAAGGGAGAGGAACCCAACGAGGGGTACGAAGACGAGGACAAAGATAGGTAGCCAAAAGGGGCTAGTGAGGACAATAATGGGTGCAAAAACAATAAAGCCTAGGACAATAGCGGTGATAGTGAAGCCAGTCAGGAGAAGAAGTATCCCGCCTACGATGGCGAGTGTGAGGAAGCCGATGAGTTGGGATGAGTTAGGGGAGGAGTCTTGGATGCGGCGGAGGAGGGTGGTGTGCGGTGGTGGTGTGGTGGTGAGTTGGATGGTGCGGTGGGGTCGGGTGGTGGAAGACATTTTTAAAGGATGTTATGTTATATTGTTATGTTGTGTTTTTGATTATTTGATAGAAATAGAAAAGATCATGCAAAAAGAGGTGGTGAATAGTAGGGTTAATAAGGAAAGGTGGGAGGGAGGAGGAGGTGACACGTGGAAGTGGGATTTGTGAGTGTTTTTGGAAAGGGTGAATTTTAGGGACATGCAACCAAGCACGTGGAAGAAGGTAAGGGTGGATTATTAAGGTTTTAAATTGATTATTATATAATAATTAATCAAATTGTTTTTGATTTTGTATTATGATCTTGTTTTGCGGGGTTGTTTACTAAATTAGAAGTGAGGGTGATTATAATTGGTTTAGATGGATGAGGTGTTTGGTTCGTTGGATTTTATAGAGGAACCTAAGGGGTAATAATTAGTCATTTTTTTTTTGTTGTGATTTGGAAACAATTTTATTGAATGATTCAACATTGGGTTTGTGATTTATAATTTATGATTTAATGTTATAAAGAAATTGTTTACAAGACGGTCTACATGTTAAGGGGAATCCAAAAACTTTTGTATACATCTAATGTAAAGTATATAGGATTTTGCTAAGGAACGTCTCCGCGGCGTTGGATAAACATTTAAAATATTGTCTAAAATGGTATTAATTTAGGAAAGCATGACAAAATCATGCGTCTATCCGATTAGTGTAATTAATATTCATTTTAATTTAATCTTTCTACTTTTAGCTAGCTTATCCAACGCCCCGAGGGCGTTCGTCAGCTTTTGCCAAGTATATATTATTGAACATTGAGGTAACTTTTGATCATTTTAAGGTAACTATATAGCTATTGTTTTATTGTACGTCCGAATTTTTTAAAATGTCTGTCAGTGGAATCTCCCCTTTTGCATTATTTTCTCCATTTGTCATGACATTTTTATAAGCATCTGTGTTCACTACTAGAAATAGGCTAAATTGCGACGGAATACTTGCGACGGACCTGTTTTTCCGTCGTAAAGGTGAATATTTTCGAATTCCGTCGTAACAATAAACTTCCGACGGAATATTCCGTCGTAAAGTGATTTGCGACGGAATATTCCGTCGGAAGTTATTATTACGACGGAATTTATTTCCGTCGGAAGTTCTTTGTTAATTTTGAAAATTAAAATTCGTTCCTTGACCTAAAAACAAGGGGGAAAGACGCAGAGAGAGAAAGAGAAGGAGCGAGAGGAGAGAGAGAAAGAGAAGGAGAGAGAAGAAAGACGCGGCAGCGCTTAACATTTACGCCGGCGACGCCTGCCGTCGACGCACACCCGCCGCCGAGAACGAAAGAGAGAAAGAAGGGTGAAAGAAAGAGAGAGGAGAAAGAGAACGAGAAAGAGAAAGATAAGGAGGAAGGGAGAGCTGTCGAGGAAGAAAGAACGGCCGTGGTGGTTTCCGGCGACGCCGCCGTGTCTAGGTAAGTGTGTGCAATTGGTAAATTTTTTTTTTTTTAATTTTGCAAAAAAAACCACCACCGGCTAACATTTAACCACCACAAAGCAGCCTATGCGCCGCACCTCCGTCTCCTAGCCGTGACTGAACCACCTGGCCGTGGTTGTTTCCGGTGACGCCACACCTCCGTCCCTTGAAAATTCAGTAAGTTGTCTTTGCTTTCCCCCTTTTTTTTCAATTTAATTTTGTTTACTTATAAACCCTTAATTATTATTTTTTTTAATTTTTTTGTAGGATTTGTACAATTTTGTTGGTTTAATTGTTAAAAAGAAGTGCAGATCTAAAGGTTAGTTACATTACAAACCCTAATATAATGTATGTGTGTATGTTACTTTGGTTATTAGATAGTGTGTTGGATTATAATTAGAATGTATTCAATAACTTTTAGTTTGTTTAATTTAGTGACATTGGTCATCTCTTATAATTAATTAATTGCTCCCTTCTCTTTAAAAAAACAATATAATGTTAGTTTGGTTTAGTTTATTTTAACATAATGTAGTTTAGTTAAGTTTATGTTAATATAATGTGTTTTAGTTTAATTTATTTTAATATAAAGTATCTTAATTTAGTTTAGTTTTTTTAGAATTATGTTAGTTTAATTTAATATATAAAACGGTAGTTTGGTTTGGTTTAGTTTAATATGATATATTAGTTTACTTTGGTTTGGTTTTATTTGGTTTATATTAATAGTATGGTGTTATGATATGTTTCTCTTGTTTAGTTTAATCTTGATATATTTGTTTAATATTATGTATGTTAGTTAAGTATATATATTTTTAAATAAATCTTATAATTAATTAATTGCTCCCTTCTCTTTAAAAAAACAATGTTAGTTTGGTTTGGTTTGGTTTAGTTTAGTTTAACATAATTTTATGTTAATATAATGTGTTTTAGTTTAATTTATTTTAATATAAAGTATCTTAATTTAGTTTAGTTTTTTTAGAAATATGTTAGTTTAATTTAATATATAAAACGGTAGTTTGGTTTGGTTTAGTTTAATATGATATATTAGTTTACTTTGGTCTGGTTTGATTTGTTTCTCTTGTTTAGTTTAATCTTGATATATTTGTTTAATATTATGTATGTTAGTTAAGTATATATATTTTTAAAAAAATTATTTGTATAATAATATACCTAGATACCTGTTCAAGGCATACACATTAGGAGTATGTCTTGAATAGTCCCCGGTTGGGACTGTCCTTGTACGTTTATTCTCACTTAGGTGGTGAATGTATTCCTTTGTTTTAATTCTAAGGAAGATCCTTGCTTGTCATTTCTCTACAATGTTCTCTAGGTACATATATAGGTGTTTCTAATCGCCTATATCGTGTACTTGGGGAACTGTAGAGAGATGCTGCCGGATTTTCCATAGAATTGAAATTTTGGCATACATTCACTAGTGAGATTGAACGTACAAGGATGGGTTAGGTTGGAATGATAGGGACCCTTGGAAATCATTTCTCTTCTCATTTGCATTTCCATAACAGTTTTATCTATAATGAATATATATTGTGCTTTATGACTAATGTGATTAATGGTATATGTGTTAGTTGTGTAGAACTTGTAATCATGAAACGAAAAGAACGTAGTTGGATGTACGAAAGGAAGGTTGGGAATTCTATTAATCCTGAGTTCTTGAAGGGGGTAGATGAATTCCTTAAATATGTGGAAGATCATCCCGAGAGTAGCAACCCGAATGAAGTTAGGTGTCCATGTTTTAAATGCAAAAACAAACGTCTTTGGGATCCAGATACGGTTAAACTTCATTTGTATCGCAGCGGTTTTTTACCTAATTACTATGAGTGGATGTGTCATGGGGAAGGGTTTCCAGGAACTCGTAGAAAGCAGTCAAATGAATATCGTGAAATGGTTTTGGATGCCTTTGGTCAGTCTCAAGATCAAGGCCATTCTGAAGAGCCACCTATTTCATTAGAGGAGGAGCCTAATGCACAAGCCAAGCCATTTTTAGATTTGTTAAGGGCTTATGAACAACCGTTATACAAAGGGAGTTCATTGTCTGTGTTAGAGATGGCTTCTAGAATCACTAGCCTAAAGTGTGAGTATAATTTGCCGCACAGATGTGTTGATGGATTTGCTTCTTTGGTTAATGAAGCGATTCCTAACAACAACCACATGGCCGAGACATTCTATGAGGCCAAGAAAATTGTTAAGGGGTTAGAGCTGCCCCATGAAAAGATTCATGCATGTCCGAAAGGATGTATGTTGTTTTGGAAAGATGATGCTCAATTATCTACATGTAGGGTGTGTGGCAGCGACCGATATAAGAAGACTTCTAAAGGTAGCTTAGTGCCTTTGAATGTTCTATTTTATTTCCCTATCACACCTATGTTGCAAAGGATTTTTGCAACTAAAAACATTTCTGAGGAAATGACATGGCATGCTAAAAATCCTCGAGTTCAAGGCATAATGGCACACCCTAGCGATAGTGAAGCGTGGAAACACCTAGATAGTTGCTTTCCTGAGTTTGCCTCTGAACCTCGTAATGTTCGACTTGGTCTATGTACGGATGGATTTGCTCCACATGGTCAGTTTGGGGGACAATATTCATGTTGGCCTGTCATTTTGACCCCTTATAACTTGCCTCCGTCAATGTGTATAAAAAGACAGTTCATGTTTCTTTCGTTACTCGTTCCTGGTCCTAAAAACCCTAAGGGCAACTTGGATGTTTACATGCAACCGCTCATACACGAGTTGAAACAGTTGTGGGAAGTTGGGGCAAATACTACCGATATTTCGAGAAAACAAAATTTCAATCTTTGAGCAGCCATCTTATGGACAGTTAGTGACTTCCCGGCTTATGGTATGTTATCTGGTTGGACCACAGCCGGTAAGAAGGCTTGTCCATATTGCATGGAGAAAAGCAAAGCATTTTGGCTCGAAAATGGTGGTAAGGTTTCTTGGTTTGATTGTCATCGTCAATTTGCTTAAAAACATAGAAAATAGGCATGGTTTTAGCCATATAGGACAAATTTGGATGATTTTGGATGAGTTAGGGTCGATATTTGACATATGTGCTTATTTCTCTTAATTTCTATCCTTAGGCACCTAAAAGTATGTGATATTGGAATGTTAGAAGAAAGAAACCTTACCTTATATTGTTGGTTGTTTTTTTAACAATATTTTTTATTATCTTCAATATTTTGTAGGAGACTGACAGGGTAAAGTCGTATCCCCTAATCAAAAATAATTACCTAAATCACTAACTAAGGTAGATAGGGAAGTAGGGTCGATCTCCACAGGGAAACTAGTCTTTTTACTCCTAATTTATTATTATAATCTAAACTATTCAAGTAACCAATATTTATAGTTGAATAAGAAGCTAAACTAAAGAGAGTAGGAAAAGGGAGAAAATAATATATAAAAGGATCTAGGGCATAGGTTCACCAATAAATAATACTCCGGGGTAAAATAGGGTAATCAATCATTGACATTGCATAAATAACATGATTAACAGGCTCTCGCAATTTATTAACCAACAGAGATCTAACAGGCTCTCGCAATTTACTAGATCTAAGTTCTCATTGAAAATAGCCTTTAATATCAAATTAACATCTGCTCGATTCATCAATTTAATATTGCTACACTTTTACAAGCCGCAATTGTAAAACATTAAAACAATCCAATAAGAAATTATCATGCAATACCAATAATCAATAATAGTCAATCATCAATGCATCAATTAATCAGATTGTAAAGGGCTCTCGCTACTTATTACAATCACACAATTAATCTATCGGTATTGTAGACACCCATTTGTGTCTCCCCAAAACCAAACCCAGTGATGAGTGCCTTTCACGTCGAATCATAATCGAATGAAACGAAAGTGTGGAAAGGTCTAGTGTTGCGCAAAGTTAGTTTTGCGATCTTCAGACTCTGTTTTGATAAATTATCTTTTTTGGATGATTTTCTCTATAAGTATCGTATTTAAAACTCCGGTTTCATTCATCAACAATCACTTTTTCAATTACCAATGATCAATATTCATTGACCATTAATCAACTATCTTTATTAACAAACCGTTCATCAATTCTTTTCATCATTTTCATCTCTTTCACCAATAATTCTTAACATTCATGAATTCTTTCTTCTTTGCTTT